CTGCACTTCTGGATAATTGGTTTCCTTTACAACTCTATGTATTTAGTTTTATACATTTAAAAATGTTCTTCTGAATATAGTTAATGTCATGGTGTTATACCCTTTAAAATGGCTAAAATGGCAAATTATTTTCATCTGTCTTGTATTACAATAAAATTTTAAGAAGAAAATAGTAGAAAAAACAGTATAGAACAAATGTGGTTTTGATAATACTGGCTAATATCACTTAGGAAAATACTTAGAATTTCCATTCAATGCAAGTGTATTTTGAGTCAAACTTTATAATTATTACCCTTTGGTACATGTGTTGTGGGAGTAGTGTGGAAATTGCAAGAACATATACTTTTCAACTTGGGCCTTCTGTATTTTGACTCTTATTCTTGGGAGAAGTAGTAGAAGTTGAGACAGTATTACTTCCATGAGTGATGGAGACAGCAGGGCAGGGAAGAAAAGGAGGAGTTTGACTGGTCTCTGGCTGGGCAGGCTGGGTAACTGGAATGTAAAGGAAAGATATTTTGACACTTTACCCCTGAAAATTCAGTTGTGCATCCCCTAAAATGAAAACATAATGACAACAGCATCATTACACCCAGACAATTAATTTTGACTTGATGATGCTATCTGACAGATAGTCCAAATTTAAATTTCTCTAATTGTCCTCAAACTGTGGAGTCCCTGGGTAGTGCAAATGGTTATATATTCAAGTAAATATATATGAAATATACTGAAAAGTTGGTCATACCCAGAATTACCTCAGAAGAAAGGCCTGACAGTCTGTCTACTTCTGAAAGGTCACAGCCTTGAAAACCCTATGGGACAATTCTACTCTGCACACATGGGGTTGCCACAAGTCAGAATCAACTTGACAACCACTGAAAACAGCAACTTCAAAATGTCTTTTAAAAGCCACACCCCTCCCCTAATCCAGAATCCAGTCAAGGTTCATATATTGCATTTGGTTGTTTTATCTCTTTCAAACTCTCATAATCTAGATTCCAGAACAATTTCCCTGCATTTGTTTTGTTCTGTTTTTCATGGCATTGGCTTATTTGAAGCATTCAGGCCAGTGTCTTATACAAAGTTCTACTTTCTAGATTTGCCTGATAGTTTCCTCATGATTAAGTTCAGATCAAACATTTCAGCAAGAATGTTGCACAACTGATGCATATCTACTTTATTTCATCAGACATTGAGGCTTATACAGTAAAACCTGCAAAAGCTTGAAACTGTGAGGCGGAAACTTGTCAATGAAGGAAAACTCTATTTTCACTAATATAGAGTGAGGGAGCTTTGGTAGCGTAGTGCCTAAGGCACTTGACTGCTAACCAGAAGGCTGGCTGTTCAAACCCACCAGCCACTCCTCGGAAGGGAGGTTGGGCAATCAACTTCCGTAGTGATACCACCTCGAAAACCCGAGGAAGGGTCGCTATGAGTCGGGGTCAACTCGACGGCACATAATAACAGCCACAACAACAACAATATAGAGTGATAGAAAAGTGGTAAGATGAACCCTGTCAAAGGTGGAACACTTGCAAGACTTGGAAAATCCAGGCAGTCCATTGAATTCCAGCTCTCACAGGCTTCACTGTATTGTCAAGTTGTCTAACTCTTCTGGATGCTTGTTATTTTTAATTAATGGGAAGCTTTATCACACAAAGGAGCTCTGGTGGCATAGTGCCTACGGCATTTGACTGCTAACCAGAAGGCTGGCGGTTCAAACCCACTAGCCACTCGTTGGAAGGAAGATTGGGCAATATACTTCTGTAGTGATACTGCACGGAAACCCAAGGGGGGGGGG